GCACTTCTCTTTTTGTTTGTCTCTAGATTACTTCAGTCATGCTTTCTTTTCACCTTACATTGAAAAACAAAGATATTTATAAGAAGTCTGAAGCAGTTATTGTACCACTAATTAAAATGTCTGCACAGGAAATCTAACGTAGAAAAGACATAAATATAGAATTAGATAGGATTTTGCATTGATAATATGTAAAATATGTATCTTTGTTAGGTTGGAAAATACATCCCCCTCACAGAATAAAAGTCTGACTACTAAATAGAATGCCCCCAAATACCCCTATTCGAAATGATCCTGTATAATTAGAATTGTTCATATCCTGATTGTAGAAGAAAATTATTGGTGAATTGTTAGTGACAAATTATATCCACATGTGGAATTTAATAATTATCTGGATTATCATTACAAAGTATTTAAAGTGACTATATCTCTAAACTATTCTAGTAAGAAAATTGTATATGCGCACCGATGTTCATAGCAGCATTATTCATGGTGGGCAAGACATGGAAGCAACCAAAGTGTCCTACAACAGATGACTGGATAAAGAAGTTGTGATACATACATACAATAGAATATTACTCAACCATAAGAAGAGATGAAATACTGCCATTTGCGACAACATGGATGGACCTCGAGATAATCATGCTAAGCGAAATAAGCTAAACAGAAAAAGTTGAAAACCACATGATATCACCTATATGCGAGATATAAATATAAAAGCAACAAACATGACAGAGACTCATGGACATGGACAGTAGACTAGTGGTTATCAGAGGGTAAGGGAGAGGGGGGAGGGGGGAGGTAGATGGGGTAAAGGTGTGGTGATGGAAAGACATCTAACTATAGTTGGCAAACATACAATGCAACACATATAAATCATTGTTGAACTGTACACTTGAAACTTATTGGATTTTGTTAATGAATGTCACCATAATAAATAAAATATAAAAGAAAAATAAAATTGTAATATTCTCTGAGCAAGAACTGCCAGATCTTTAGCATGTCACTAAGGTCTAGGTACACACACTATTTCAATATGTATCATAAACCAAGTACCAATGGTTTTTAGATGAAAAAGTGTACGCTAAGATAATTTCTATGCAAATAGAGTGTTTTAACACACACAAAAAAGTATCATTTATTTCAACTGCATTATGATGCACTTCAGAGCCTAAAATTTCAACATTTTTAACTTTCTCATAAATTAGAGAATTATTTTCCCATAGCTATTGGATCTTTAAAACTAGGTAGATGGTAACTAGATGGAATATGATTATTTTGTAGTGTATACAAAGATTTAATTATTATGTTGTAGACCTGAAACTAACATGTTATATATTAATTTTGCCTCAAAAAAATAACTAAATAAAATGATTTTATACAATTCAAAAAACAATTAGAAGTACCTCAAAATATGGACATGTTGCTTTATTCTGTACAGAATTAGAGCTAGAAAAAAAAATGTTCGTAACTCATATTTTTTACATTTATATTCAGCATCTAAGACAAGCCTCATCATAATTTCTACTTTACTCGATGCTATCTGTTTGAATTGATCCACTCAGGAAATAAAATACAATTTAGATAATACAAAAGTAATTAGCAGCATGACAAAATCCACCTGCTCCTAGGTGACTTGGAGACCCAGCTCATTTTCCAAAAATTTGTTTAATCTATCATTTTTTTTTCAAAAAGGTCATGCTGTGCATGAGTAAGAAGTAGGCAATGAACATTTTACTACAGTATTAAAATGATCATGTACTTCTATGCGACTCACAGTGAGTTTTCAGTTTTTCTTCAGAAATGTCAATAAAAAATGTTACTGCTTTCAACGTAATATTAACTGGTTTTCATTTTTTTATAATTTTACTCTCTATTTCTTTTGAATTATGTTAGTTTATGACAGAAGCCATAGCACTGAAATAGCAATGCTAGATAGTCAAAGGAAATGTGCTAACATAAATCAATGAATTCAACAATATTAGCCACTTAATTATTACAAAGTAGTATTTGGAGTTTTTTTTCTTTTTTTTCTAAAATATATTAGAAGTTCTTCTAGTAAACTTGCTAGTGACAGTGTCAGTATGCATCAGGTAAAATGGCATGTAATATATCTGTTAATGGATTAGTTGTGATAAATTTAGCTTCCAGCAGAGAAAATCATACCCATTAGACATAAACTACAGCACCATCTGTCTGATTTGATGATGTGATATAAAAGAGCAAATCGTGGGATGCTTATTGCAGCCCTTCAACTCCACTGGAGATGGGTGTCAAAGGGAGTCAAAGGGATAAAAAACTATAGCATCATCTTCATAAATGAAAAAATAAAATGAACTGAGACTTCCAAATAGATACAGCATCAGTTCTCTAGTACTACAAGACACACAAATGTATTGTCCACTGAAGTAGCATTTTAGGTTTGGATCTTATAGATGGATGTTTATAATTTATTTGTGGAGAACATCCTATAAAACAAATCCTAACAAAGACCTCCAAATACTAAATTGCTTCAGATTATTAAATTTATATAAATCTCAAAATATATTAATGTGATATACTTTACACTGCATATGTCCTTTCAAATTACAAAAACATTTTAAATATATAATTTCCTTAAAATAATTCTGGCAATTCTTTGAGGGATTGGTATTATTATCCACACACCCTTAATAAAATCAAGTGACTTTTTCAGAAAATGTATAGCTAAATTATTTAATCTTTCTCAAAGAAAATAATCATATCAACCCCTTAAAGAACTGTTACAAATATTGAACAAGATTATGTATTGGCAAGGAGTTTTAATTCGAACCGAGTTATATAAGTATTGGTGGCTATTTACATTTTGCATGATCATAGTACTAATATCAAATCTTCTAAGAACTACCAAGGGTCATCTATTTTACTCTATTTACTCTAGAAAGGTACTTATTAAATCTTTACAAATAGATGTTTAAACTTCAAATATATTCTTCTTTAAAGATTTCCAACACAAGAAAGTATACATATCTCTTAGTAACATATTCCACTGTTTAAACCTATCTTACTCTCAGAAAACTCCAAATGAACTGAATCTAAGCCACTTCTGTTACAATGTAGGCACGGTGGTTTTCACTAATCTCTGTAAAATTAGATAAGTAAATCAGAAATTTCTTGCTCGTAAGTTGTATGTGTGCCCACAGGTAGATTTTTGCATTGTCATATGTACAAATATAAATAAATGAACATATTGCTTGAATTTATGGATTTATTTGTTTATTGCTTGGAAATACTGGCCCTGATTTGAATTACAAGGGATGGAGCTAAGCAATTAGAAGAATATCAGTGAGCTCCACAATAACTCGGAGATGCTGGTTCATATCATTGCCTGAAGGTATGTAACCAAATTGTTACACAAGTATAAGGGATTGGATTGAATTTGATTGACAGAAAGCTAAATAACTTTTTAAAAAATCACTATATTAAGACTAGAATCCTGTTCCCTAGAGAACAAAAAACAGTGTTTATATGAGCTTCCATGTAAGTGTATAAACCCCTTGAGCATTTAAAAATAATGCATATTTCTTAATCTAGGTAAATAACACACAAATACAAAATGAATTATAACAATTCATGAAGTAATAAAAAGAAATTAATTTTTATTTATGTTCTCATCTTGTCTCAGCAATAAAAGAAGCTAAAGGTCAGTTCTCTTACTGTAACGCATTTTCACAGGCTAAATCACAACTCCATTATCATCTATGTTCAGATTCTCAATGGGAAGAATCTCTCTCCCATTTAATTCACATTGCATATTGTTATACATGTCAAAGACATTTCTTATCTGAGTTCCTTTTTTGGTTGAGTTGATTTTTCAAAGCAAAAGCAAAAAATGGCTATCAAAAGAACATTTGGATAAAGGTGATTGAGGAAAATCTGACAAGCCTGGGAGGTAAAACTTAAGTGCCTTGACCCTTGAATTTATTGAAACTAGTGATAGAATGTGATAGCTAAACTGTGCCCATCAAAAATAGCATTAAGAAAGAAAGTGTTCCCAGGAGTATGTCCACTAAGGAAGACAAAATTATGTGCCATGGATCACACAATGCAGCAGCAGCAAGTGGGATTTATAAGTGAGGGAGGCATCAAGCAAACCATCTCATTTTTATTGCAGTTTAAGACCTTGAAATATGCCTCTCAGTTAAAGGAATTTTTATGGAAAATGAGGCTTCTGAAAATTAACTTATTTCTTGATTTTTCTTTCTTACTTTACATACGGTTAAAAAGGACAAGCAACTTCATCTTATCAATGGTGAAATGGAAATGGCATTAAATAACTCATTGAAAGAAATAAAATAATACCCTTCATGAGGCTAGAAACAAGGCAGAGTACTTGTGACTGTTGTTTAACCAAGTCTATGATACTCTTCACAATTTTGCATGTTTTTAGAATTTGTTAACTGAAGCAGCATACTATAAAACGGCTTGCATTGTATCTTCACTGCCTACCACATGGTCCAGGGTGTGGGGGGGAAACATTCTAATGTATTAGGAAATAATTACTGGAGGTTTCTCTGGAAAAAAAGTTCTTATCACTTTTTAAGTGATCCTGCAAAAACTCCTGACTGAACTCAAGGAACTCATGACTGCGACTTTTAAAGGTGCAGTCTACAGATGAGGAAACTGACACTCAGATAGGTTGAATAAACAACTTGTCAAAAAACACGGAGTTCACAGGATTGAGTATCTAGAATTTACTCTCAGATCCATCTCGGGCCCATGGTCTTTCATGATGCCATTCACTCAGTAGAGCATATGAGATTTAAAAAAATAAGCTTTGTAATTTGTGCTACAAAACCTACAGT